CCCACCACAATCTCACCACAAGCTCACCACCGACAACAGCACCACCCTACAACTACCGCAACAAAACTCCATGAGCCTGCCAGTGACCGTGCATTCCCTCTGCCTCCACAGCTTCGCCTGAGGTTGTGGTCGAAGCCCGCAAGAGGTTGTGGACGGCTCCTGAGCTTCTCCGTAGAGGGGCGTCGCTCCCCCGGGGTACGCAGAAGGGGGACGTCTTCTCCTTCGGCATTATTCTCTACGAAGTGATGGGGAGGAAGGGCCCCTGGGGAGACTACATGGACAAGTTCACCGTGCAAGGTATGTGGGTTGGATTATGTTTTATGTTGGGGGGGTGGGGTCCTTCTGCTATGTGGGTAAAATGTGTGCTGCGTTGGGAGCGTTTTATAATGTGGGTAAAATGTGTGCTATGTTGGGCTCCTTTTATTATGAGGGTAGGATTATGTGCTATGTTGGGGGAGTTCCTTTTGCTATGTGGGCAGGACTGTGTGCTATGTCGGGGGTCCTTTTGCTATGTGGGTAGGACTGTGTGCTATATTGGGGTAATTTTATTATGAGGATAGGATTATGTTATATGTCGGGGGTCCTTTTACTATGTTGGGGGAGTTCCATTTACCATGTGGGTAGGACTATATGCTATGTCGGGGGGGGGGGAGTCCTTTTGCTACGTTGGGTTGGAGTTCTTTTTGCTATGTTAGGGAGATCCAGTTGCCCTTTGATGTTGGGGAACGTCTCGTCAGGGAAAAGAGCCCGAATATATTTACGTAGTTGCGAGACGGAGATTTGAGGGAGATGCAATTTGCTTCGTTGATTTTGCGTGTTTATGTGTGTGTTTGTTTGTGTGATTGTTTGTCTGTGTATGTGTGTGTGTGTGTGTGTGTGTGTGTGTGTGTGTGTGTGTGTGTGTGTGTGTGTGTTTGTGTGTGTATGGTTGTGTGTGTGTGTGTGTGTGTGTGTGTGTGTGTGTGTGTGTGTGTGTGTATGTATTATGTAAATCCACAGTCATCACTATTTAGACTCGACAAACAAATAAAATTTCCCTTCAGTAAACCAACTTAGTCTCCCTCCACAAAATTCAGAGCAGCAAACACCCGGAGCCCGAGAGAAGACCAGACGCATTCAGCAAACAGACACACCGACTGCCTCAACCTAACCCCCATTTCCGCCGCTCCTTCCAGACATCCTTTCGAAGCTCCGAGAGTGCTGTGAGCCTCCGCTGCGCCCTCCGCTGGACACCCTCAAGGCTCCTGAGTACGTCCACCGGTGCCTGAGGGAGTGCTGGGTCGAGGAACCCGACGAAAGGCCCGACTTCAAGCTCATTCAGATGCGCCTGAAGGAAATGCAGGCAGGGCTGTGAGTCACATTCGCTTATTTGGCAAGCATGGAGTTGTACTTGTGATGGGGATACGAGTATATATATATATATATATATATATATATATATATATATATATATATATATATATATATATATATATATATATATATATATATATATATACACACATATGTATATATGTATGTATATATATACAATATATATATATATATATATATATATATATATATATATATATATATATATATATATATATATATATATATATATATATATATATATATATATATATATTGTGAGGCATGATTCCTGACGTTTTTATTCGGATATACATTTTTTTGGCTTCGTATCAGATTATTATTTTATGAATATATTTTTGTTCTATAAGAGAATGGTTATTTTCTTTCAGTGTCGTTCGTTACATATTCTTGTTCATGAATGTTTATGCATGTCGATTTTCAAAACTTACAGATTTGCATTTCTAACTGAATGGACGTGTTTCTGAATGTTCATCTCCCGTTCATCTGCCTCTTCAAACTATGTGTTGTTTCTAGTTTACGTTTTGTTCAGCGGCCTTGATGAACAGAGGAGAAGAACGGAGAATGTCGCTGAGAGGCCAAGATACAGAGGTATGTTTGGCAGGAAAGTAATTTTGCTTTGTGGTTGTTCTTCTCCAAGCGCGATTTTAGTTTGTTTGTTTGTGCTGTGTTCTTGTTCGTTCTGTTTGTTTGTTTGTTTGCTCATTTATTTTTGGTTTGCTCTGTGTATGTTTTTTTGATTTTGGGTGTTCTGTTCAATATATTCAGCAATCTCTTTTACTCACTTTTTTGGCTACGCACTCTCCTTTCTTGCTTTTTTCCTTATTCATACACCTCTCTCTCTCTCTCTCTCTCTCTCTCTCTCTCTCTCTCTCTCTCTCTCTCTCTCTCTCTCTCTCTCTCTCTCTCTCTCTCTCTCTCTCTCCCTTCCTTCCTCCCTCCCTCCCCCTCTCTCTCCAGCCACATTTTTTTCTTTCTCTCTCTCTTTCACTCTCGTCTCTCTCATTTCTTCTTAATTTCTTTCTCTCGTTTATTCCGTCTTTCCCGCTCACTAGTACATCTACCTTCTCCCACCTTCTCTCTCTTCCTCTCTTTCTCTGTCAACCTCTCTTGTTCGATCTTTCTT